TTTTTTTTTTGCAGTTTACTGATTTATATTTTATATGCTTTGTTTCTTTTACTAGTTATTACAAAAAATGAAAAATCACCATGGAGCATCGTTACAAAACATTAGGCATTCCATTTAGAAAGTTTTTAGATATAAAAAGCTTCCCCCTCTGAAGAGTAGTGATGCCGCGAAAGAAATTATAAGGTGGAAGAAAAGTGAAGAGGTTGCCACTTGCTATCGCGCCCTCTTTGAAGAAAATGATAATGGTGTGCTATGGGTGTCTATTATCGCAAGAACTGCATTCTCTACGAATGCAGTATCTACCCTATCTAACGAACATTGTGCACTCACGTTGGCTGTATGTGATATATTGTTGAATCCTTGATCGCGAAACATGATATGTATAGAAAAGCATATGAAATGCTATATGGAGAAATATTTGGTAAGTATTTATTATAAATCGTTTTATATCGACTCAAATTAATAGTTTTACATTGGGTTTTGCATTGTGAATGATTTTCAGAAGGGAGGCCCCTCCTACAAATCTGCTGAAGCAATAATGAATGAAAAGCTTGAGTATTTTGGTGAAAAATCGCGGCCAACCTCTTCTCACCATGGATTCAAAGCTAAACCATTACGATCAAATTCAATGTAGCTCTCACAAAAAGAATTGAATGATTTGTTTGCATCCTATTAATGCAACAGATTTACTTTTTTTTTTACTTTTTTTCTTTCTTTCTTTTTTCTTTTTTCTTTTTTTTTCTTCTTTTTTTCTTTTTTTCTTTAAAAATACTTTTTGGTATTATGTGATGCTTAGTTATAAGTTATATTGATATTTGTAACAATATAATATATATTAATAAAATTGATAATTTACGTAATTGATGACTAATTAGGAAGGTTGTGGCTTGAGATACGGATCAAGTTATGGCAGTATCCTAAAGGATAGCTTGAGATCTGAACCTGGTAACAGCAGCACAACAGGTACTAGTTAAGGAGGAAGTTATCGAACATGCAGGTGAATACATGTGTGGAACATGTACTAGGTTTACCTCAAGAATAAAGTAGTCTTAGATAGGGTGCGAAATCTATAAGTATCGCAAAATCTACACATGAATAGTGAGCTACACCTTGGTTAGGTAAGAGATGACAGGTCAGTTGTGACCAGGGAGTTTAAATAGGTAATCCCCTAGTTGGGTTGAGGTATGGCAGCTAGTGTAGAACCTCAGGCAGACTACTTAAATAGGCAACCAAAAGTTGCAAGTATGGCTAGTCGTACTCTCACTTGTAAAAGTCAGAGAGCTTA